CCCCCAATTGAGGGAGGACGGTATTATACAGCTTCCGTAGATGCCAGTCCCAGACTAATTTAGGATCTTTTTCACGATTCTTATGAAAGAGCGCTATCTTCCCACCATTACTTTCGTCTATATGACTACTGCTTGAAAAATGAGATTAAGCGCGTTACCTTATACACGCGTAGGGCGGGGCTAGTGGAAGGGGAGGATCTACGAAATGGAGTGAGAATTTTTGGTTTCCGGCTTTGACTCATTGGAACGGGTTCCCGGAGATTTACTGAAGTAAGTGGCTGAGGTTGGGACCATCGTCGTCAATAAAGCTATTGAGAAGGAGGAATAGAAAATGAGTAAAAGTGAACCTTGCAACCAATCGCAGAAAGAGCCGAGGCCACCATATTGACTCGTTTATCGATTTTTGAGAATGTTCGCCAATAATAGTTACCCATTTCCCACTGAAATTTTTGATTTAATAAGTTAACAAGTCAGAAAATTTATTGAGTGCGAGAAATCATAAATGAGGACCTTTTCAAAGATCTTTCCGCTCTTTTGCTTCTCCTTGTGAATCGATAATACTTCCCGGGTTCCGAGGCAATCGAGATCTCCATATCTCCTGCAAATGTGAATTCAATGCAAATGAAAAATATTATTTAGGATTACGGGGAATAATGTGCGTCGCGGTTAGGGTTGGTCAATGCCTTAAGCATGAGATAGGCGTTTCAGTTAAAAACACCAAAGTACGTGGATGTATGGCTCCGTTCATACTTTGCGGCAGCATCCGCCGGCGTTTCCCAGCGTCCACCAGCAACCACCAGCGTTCCGAGCGTCCGGCAGCGCAAGCGACTAGGAAAGTATAGATAGTGATCAGAGGTATGCAAGCGTCCACCATCGTTCACCAGCGACCGAGAGTAGAGAGTATGGGGAAGAAGAACCCGGTCGCTGGTGAACGCTGGTAGACGCTGGCAGGCGCTAGACCGACACCTATACTTCCCTAGCCCTCGAAACGCTGGCAAACGCTAGCAGACGCTAGATCGATATCTCTTTGCTATTAGATGGCTTCCGAACACTCGGAAAGCTAGCGATTGCTGGTGGACGCTGGTAGACGCTGGTGGACGCTGACGCAAAGTACGGATACAGCCTAGGCAGGCTGGCTGGCGAGACGGCATGTTCGCTGTGCTTGGTCCAAGGGGATCGGTTTCCCGGGTGACGTATACCTTCTATCTAAAGATACTCCTAAATGGGCACGAGAACGCAAGTGACGTCTAGTCCTTAGTTTCACTGCCGGATCAAATATGCATTTGAATGACTCACTAATGGACTCTAGCATAGAAGGATACAGGACAAAGTTTTTGCCGTTCAATACTTTGTGGGATGCGGCAAGTACTCTACAGTCCTCATCATTGCGGACTGTCGGAGGCGGCGTGAGCAGCGCGGTTCGAGTCCGCGTTCGGCTCCCTTGCTCTACCAATGGCGATCGGGTAGAAATCGATTTAGGAAGGAAACAACCAATGATGGAAACGCCGCATGTGAGAACCGCTGATTGCGACCCGACAATTGCGGTGATATTAAGTGTACTTCCACTCAGAATCGTAGCGGCTTATTGAATGCGATGAAGGCTTGTTTGGCCGGCCGAGAGTCGACCCGGGATTTGAACCCATGCCACTTGTCACTACACCACCTCCTCGGACTCTAGCGTAATCTTCATTAATTCTGAATCTGCCAAAAATCCTTCACAACGGTAGAAAGTCGGGATGGTAGGTAAAATAATCGCGGTGACTAAGTATCCTACCTTCAGAGAAATACGAAAATATTCATCAAAATTGCTACGTGTACAATGTACCCAGAAAACAAGGTGTAAACATGTGTAACGTAGGGTAGAAATTGTTCGTACCGTACACATTCATTCCATTGCTCAGCGATCGTATGACATCCTTCAAATAAGTGGCTTACTAATTGACCATCTTTCGTGCTGTTGTGCCTCCACGGAGAGGTTGGATCGCCTTCTTTTACTGGTGAAGCCTTAACGACCATTTTATTTTGAGTAATGGATTAGTATATAATACATAACACTGATAGTAAGAGAATGACTTTGGCCTTATTCCAGTGAGGGCGGAGGCGATGTAATGGCAAATGACATGCCACGCGTGCGGTCCCGGGATCAAGCCGAGCCAATCAAGACGCTGACCCATTCAGTGGAGGGAAATTATCACAAAACTTGTAATAGAACATAAGAACTTGGCTTGCGCATTAGGTGGCTATCACAAGTCATCATATAAGTTAACGCTATCCATTGCGCTACGATTTTGAATTGAAGTCGTACACATGGTGCATCCAAAAAACGATTGATCAGTGCCCAAAGCTTCATACTTCATCCTCTTTCTACGATCAGTGCCAAAAGCTTCATTACTTCATCTTTTTTCTAACAGGAGGTAAAATGAGTGCCGCCAAGCCTCCATTCGGCCACCTCGATGTTGAATTCATTTCTTCCTAGGCGCAAGAAACAGGAGCAGATTTGATTGCAAAACCTGTAATTTTGACAGAGCCCCTCTGGTTACTATTCGGGGCCCAATTCCCTATTTCATATCGCAGGAGCATTTTTGGGAACCCTCTGACAAGTTTTGCATGGGAGCACAAATGAAAGCCACAAAAATGGCTAGATTTTCCCCCGTTTGTCAAAATTGTCCAAGAGTTCACCTATCAGCAAATATTTGAGTGTATTGGTAAACAAGTAGGTATAGGCTGTTTCTCACTAAGAGGATTGTTGTTGAAAAGATAAAGGAATTAGCAGAAATCCTAATAACTCTTACTGTTATCAACGTTGATTGCTTACTCTTAGAGGCATAAGGCACGATAATTTGGTGCACGGTCAAAAATGGTAGCAGGGGTGCTATATAAAGGAAAAATGACGAAAAAGTGAAATGAAACGGTCAAAACCTGCGAAAATGCCTCTGATCTACACGATTCAGGTAGAGCGATTTCAATACGAGTTTCCCGTTTGCTCGTGCCAGTAACCGCTAGGTAAATACGGTTACATGTATGAACTAATTCATCCATGCAGCACCGCATCCGCTTCATATCAATCCTTCGCTTCATATTGTACTTCGCAAATGAAGCGATACGAGCATCAGGTCGGTCGTCCATTTGTGGGCGGGCGGCGCGGTGGGCGTCCGGGTCGGTATGTTGCAGCTTGATAGGGCACTATACTGGTTTCTTCTTGAGAAAGGAGCCACGCAGCATTCGCTCAAGGGCGCCGAGTTCTGTCCTGTTAGTCGTATTAATCCTACACATCTAAGGGAACTAATGTGCCACATGCCTTTAAAGAGTCCATCAACATTTCCTATGCTAACATTATGTGTGTTTGTATATTCTGGAATATAAACAATGATACGGATAGTATTGCCAATCGCTGGTCTTTATTTGTTCTTCTGAATAGATTGACGGAGCAGCGGTGGAGCAGTGGTAGAAGGTACTGCTACCAGACAAGCGGGCCTGCGATTGAATTCCAGCCTGGTCAAGCAAGCCCTGCACCACTTAAATGGGTTTTTCTAGTAGGATGAGTGGCACGTTCCAAAAGCAGTTGAATGCAAAACTGTTAATCGTCCTGATTTCACCCGAAGAACTTTGTTTAAAGTATTTCTCACCCCCAGCGTGGCAGCAGTACTGATCAGGTCACATCATTATTGGCGATCACCAAAGGGGGTCGTATTTGATCTGAGAAAAATTTCTTTGATAGTTGATTTTTCGTATTTCACGGACTCTACAAGAGAAGGGGGTCGTATTGGCTCGTTACTGGGAAAGGGGGGTCGTAGTTCTTTCTGAGAGAAATTTGCGGGTTTGGCAAAATTTTCCCGACTGCTGACTTTCCGCGCTTTTCCTGTTTCACATGTACTATACATACAGTATACACCACGACAACAAAATTCTGGCTAAAAGCTAGAGTTTTCGGGAAGTTCCGGAAAACTGGAAAAAAGTGGTAGGATAGGGGGGGTCGTGTTTCCTCGCGGTTTCTCCGTGTCACATGTGCTACAGTCGTTATCCACGCACTTGATTAGGGCGGCAAGGGTCGCGACGCGGCTGCAGCGCGTCACGACCGCGGCGATCAGCTGTTTCCGGCCTAATTTGGCCATTTTCTCCCTAATTTTCAGTGTACATTCTATTTTTTTCGAGGTTTCATTTTTTTCGCCTTTATGAAGTGTGCTAGGATGTGGATTCTTTTATTGTTTTTGCAACAGAGTGTTTTTGCGATTTTTTCAGGTATTTGTTCAATTGTCTGCTTAACTGTTTAATTGTGCGCAAAAAACAGAGGAATCTCAATCATAATTTACCTTGTGAAGACAAGGAACAACTAATCTCGAGAAAAGCAGCCATAACAGTGTAAATTAGGGAGAAAATGGCTAAAATAGGCTGGAAACAGCTGATCGCCGCGCTTGTGACAT